CTCAAGGGATCCACCTGTCTCAGCCCCCCAGAGTGCTAGGATTACAGGCGTGAGCCACTGTGCTTGGCTTAACAAGTAACTCTTAAAACATTTAGGCCTGGCACTGTGTAGGATCACAGTAAATACAATAATGTATCTGAAAGCACTGGGCTGGTCACAAAGACACGTCACATCCCGGTCCCCTACTAACCTGAAGGGCCTGGAGACACACTGCTCGGAAGCTGCTGCATGTGCTTCCGGTCACCACACTCACAATGGAATTCACAGCCACCCAGAGTGAGGCCTGCAGTTTCTGATGAGCCTGGACACAACATGCAAGGGGGGTGCATTAGTGCCAGGCTCCTGGTTCAAAGATCCCCCAAAGGGCCAAAGTTTCTAGTCCAAGCAGAGTTTCAACAAGTCTTCCCCTCCATCAATAGTACTTACTGAGATCATGACACATCTTTACATCATGACTCTTAGGAATCAAAACAAATTTTATTTATTTATATTATTATTATTTTGGGGGGAGATAGTCTCACTTTCTCATCCTTGGTAGAGCATCATGGCATCACAGCTCACAGCAACCTCAAACTTTGGGTTCAAGTTATCCTCTTGCCTCAGCCTCCTAAGTAGCTGGAACTACAGGCACCCACCGCAATGCCCTGCTATTTTCTTAGAGATGGGGTCTCACTCTGGCTCAGGCTGAGTTGAACTTGTAAGCTTAGGCAATCCACCTGCCTAGGTCTCCCAGAGTGCTAGGATTACAGGCGTGAGCTACCACACCCAGCCTGTTTTTTTTATTTTTTATTTATTTTTATTTTTATTTTTATTTTTTGAGACAGAGCCTCAAGCTGTCACTCTGGGTACAGTGCTATGGCATCACAGCTCACAGCAACCTCCCACTCCTGGGCTCAAGCAATTCTCCTGACTCTGCCTCCCAAGTAGCTGGGCCTACAGGCACCCACCACAACGCCTGGCTATTTTTTGGCTGCAGCCCTCATTGTTGTTTGGTGGGCCCAGGCTAGATTCGAACCCGCCAGCTCAGGTGTATGTGGCTGGCGCCTTAGCCGCTTGAGCCACAGGCACTGAGCCTGTTTTATTTTTTGAGACAGAGTCTCACTCTGTTGCACTGAGTAGAGTGCTATGGCATTATCATAGCTCACGGCAACCTCAAACTCTTGGGCTCAAGCAATTCTCTTGCCTCAGCCTCTCAAATAGCTGGGACTAGAGGTATCTGTCACCACGCCCAGCTATTTTTTAGAGATGGGGTCTGGCTCTTGCTCAGGCTGGTCTGGAATACCTGAGCTCAAGCAATCCACCCACCAGAGCCTCCCAGAGTCACCAGGCCTGGGCCCCAAACACAAATTTTTAAAATGTCCTCTCTGGCTGGGTGCCCATAGCACGGTGGTTACACTGCTAGTCACATACACCAAGGCTGGTCGGTTTGAACCCAGCCTGGGCCAGCTAAACAATGACAACTGCAAAAAAAAAAAAAATAGCTAGATGTTGTGGCATGTGCCTTAGTCCCAGCTACTTGGGAGGCAGAGGTAGGAGAATCACTTGAGCCCAGGAGTTGGATGTTGCTGTGAGCTGTGATGCCACAGCACTCTACCCAGGGTGACATAGTGAGATTCTGTCTCAAAAAAAAAAAAAAGAGTAAAACTAGCCCGGTGCCATGGCAGTCACCTATAGTCCCAGCTACTTGGGAGGCTGAGGTAACTCAGTTATTAAGTGGACATAATAACTATCTGTGAAGAAGGCACATATGATAGGTGCCTAAAAAGGCCAGTTTCCTTCCTGCCTGACAGAAATTTTGAAAATAGTAGTTTGTTCACTTGAGCTATGATGCCACAGCATTCTACCCAGGGCAACAGAGTGAGACTTGTCTCAAAAAATAAAAATAAATAAGTAAAGAATTAGGAAAACTAAGGAAAAAGCAGTAGCTCCAGAAGTGTGAAGGAGAGACACATGGGTATGGAGAAGTGCATTATTGGTCATTTTTCACTAGTATCTAACTCCCTATTTATTCAAACTCACCTACTAGGAGGTTAAACTAAGCAAGCTGGTTGTAGTGACCACCTAATTTCAAGCTTGAGTTCCTACGCTACATGAAGTGTTATAAGTTCACCCAAGTGATAGAAAAGGGAAGGAAGGGCTCTTGGCCCTGCTAGATACACTTACCTTCTTTTTCTTAGAGAGCAGAGGAAAGGGAGCTGCGAATTTCTCATACCTTGGCAGCCTGGTGATGCTGCTCCAAGACCTGGTCCACAGTGAACTGGATGGCATCTTGTACTACACTGTGGCTCTCTGCAAGGATGGAGCCGAGATGAGTTGTGAGCAGAGTATGAACACCTACAAGGAGAGAGGATGTTGGTATCCATGGATGAAGATGAAGACTTCAAGACTGCTGTTCATGTGCTCTGAGTCAAAGCTGGGAGTGGGAAAGATGCCTCTAGACGAAAAGGCCATTACTTATCCACAAATAATTAATTTTTAAAGACAAAACCTCGTAGCAACTTACAAACCTACCCAATTCTCCCTTATAAATGAAAGCAAGCTCAGGAAAATTAAAGTGAGGAATTGTTTTTGAAGAAAACAAATTAAAGTGAGACATTGCTTTTGAAGAAACAACTGAGATGTCCTGTGTAATTCCCACCAGAAATATCTACTACATACTAGAAACCACAATCCTGGAGACTCCCAAAGGAGAGGAGGAAGAGGGTGAGGAAGAGCTCCTGGAGAGTGCATCTAACCCTGCTTCATTCCTACATCCACTATCCACGTTGTGATTCTTTCATTTGAGCTATGGCAAAGAAAAGGTTAAAACTCACAAAGGTCACTCTGAGAACTGTTGGTATAAGGTCCTCTTGAATGGAGCATTATCTCTATTTAAGTAGCCAGGGGCACCCCGGCTCAACCTCATTCAGATAAGTTAACCTGTGAGAGCAAGGGGCAAAAGTCTGTCTTCAAACCGTAGGCTGCCATTCAGTGGCCCTGATGCAGCAGACATAGGAAGCCAAATTCGAGTTACAGGTCACCTGGAGAAGTTGTTCCTTAATCGTTTCTTGTGTTTTTAGTGCTGTTCTAATCTTTCCTGGGTAGTCTGTTCAGATACCAATGGAGAAGCAGCCTAGGGCTGGCTGGCCTTTCTTAGGACTGCATTAAAAACACAAGCCAGAAGGATCGTTCTGTACCACAACACACCATGATGCTTTCTTGCTAGGGAAGTAACATGGGGTAAGCTCAAAAGGAGTCTGGAGCTACAAACAGGAGAATGCAGATTCTAGGGCCAATTTCACCACCAATTCATGATGGCTAAGTCACTTCATTTCGCTTCTGTATAGAAAATGGCTTTTCATCTCCTACTCTCACAAGTATATTGTGTAGATAAACTGGGATAATTTACATGAAATGTTTTTGAAATATACACTGTAACATTCAGTGGAAAGATATTGCTATTGCTATGACAATAGATATCTGGATTACTATTTTCCATAGTTTAGTCCTAAGAATAGCTTCCAGAAATCAGAACTCTTTTGAAAGCAGACATTAAATTAAAAAGCCAAAGTTCATTCCCAAAACTGCTGATACCAACAGATGCTTTTGACGTTGTGGCAAAATAATGAGTTAATCATAGAAAAGTTACCATGACAAGGTGGGCAGAAGGCCAGTTATGTGATTTTTAAAAGATACACAGAAACAGACTGTAATTTTGCACAATCTGTTTCCTAAAAGAAGGAGCCTGAAGAAAGCTCTCAAAGACATGAGAAAGAAGAAGGGGAAGGGGATAAAGTCACTGCTCCGTCTGTGTCTGCCTCCCTCACTGTGCTCCTCTTCAGAGGCCAGCCCTACACTACCAGATGTGTAGATCTGAAAGACCCTGACCTGTACCATGTTTACTAATGCTGTGATAAATTTCTTTTCAAGCCAACACTGAATTCAAGTACTGAGATAATTCAGGCCTTCAGGGTCAAGCTAAACAGAAGTGTATAAACTATCACAGTATTATAAGAATGATAAGTAACACTGGTTTCTGAGGAATTTTAGTTCTTAAGGTTTGTTCAGTAGGATCTAGAACACGGTATTAAGTTTATAGTTATCCAAAGATTATCCTCTGGCAGACCTTTAAGAAAAATCTGCCACAAGGTAGCAGATCTTAAGTCTTAAGAGGGTTTAGACTTGGAAAGGCCTTTGACGCTACCTAGTCGAACAGTCTCCCGTTACAGATAGGGAGAGGAAGGCTCAGATGATTATGTGACTTCAAAATCATTGAGGAAGTTAGTATCAAAGCTAAAATTAAACCCAGGTTTCTTGATTCTACCTGGAAGTTCTTTCCACAATACTAAGCTGCTTCTCTTGTCTGCCTCTGTCTAGGTGAGCACAGGCCAGATGGCAGCCCCAGGAATCCTCACATAGACCTCTTCGCTGGAGCCTCATGAGTTTGGGTCTTGTCTGTCTCTCACTCCTCTCACCTTAGTCAATGGAATAGTGGAACATCAGGGAGCACGGGCTCCTCAACTAAAGGGCTGCAAGCCAGAGCCCAGCACACAGGGCTTCTTCTCTGCTAGAGTTCACACAGTGTGTGCCAGGAAAGGGTAGAAGAGGCTTGGAAGGAAGGTGGCATGAAAACCCCACAGCTGACAATGGTTTGCTCAACAGATAGTTGGCACCAGTGTGAGCTCTTCTGGTCTGGGGTTGTAACAGTGCTCACTTTACTTATGACCCAAGGGAAGCAGGGCCACACCAATAGCACCAGAGTGCCTACAGAGTCCAGTCCCATGAAAACACCTGGTCCACAGAGAAAGGAGAATATGGAAACATCAAAAGCAACAAAACAAAACTTATGACCTTTTCCCAAACTTGTATACACTCCAATTCTCATATGTAACCTCCTTCAACATTTAGGAAGGCCTGAGAAACACTTAAGGTTGTGTCCTAGGTTTATTGGATTAAAATGCATAAACCGACTGTCACTCACACTCAGTGGTTTTCAAATTTTACTATATTTAAGAATTACTTGATAATATTGTTTCAAATGCAGATTCTTTAACCATACCATTTTTTACATTATCACAAAATAATGAAAATTAATCATCAGCCTGAGAAGCTGCACATTTTCAAATAATCAGGTGATTCTGATGCACATGTTTCACGGACCATAAACTGAAACAACCACTTTACCTTTAAAAGACAGATTTTTTTTTTTTTTTTTGAGACAGGTCTCTTTTTATCACCCCCGTTAGGGTGCAGTAGGGTAATCACAGCTCACTGTAGCCTCAAAGTCCTGGGCTCAAGTGATCCTCCCACCTCAACCTCCCAAGTAGCTGGGACTGCAGACATGCACTACCATGCCTGGCTAATTTTTTCTATTCTTTGGGAAGAAACATGACTCAGCACCCATAGCACAGTGGTTATGGCACCAGCCACATACACCGAGGCTGGCGAGTTCGAACCAAGGTCACCCAAACAACAATGACAACTGCAACAAAAAATAGCCAGCCTTATGGTGGGTACCTGTAGTCTCAGCTACTTGGGATGCTGAGGCAAGAGAACTGCTTAAGCCCAAGAATTTAAGGTTGCTGTGAGCTGTGATGCCACAGCTCTCTACTGAGGGCAACAAAGTACAACTCTGTCTCAAAGAAAAGAAAACAGAAGAGACAGAATCTTACTCTTGCTCAAGGTGGTCTCAAACTCCTGAGCTTAAACGATCCTCCTGTCTCAGCCTCCCAGAGTCTGAGGAGTTTATCTCCTTTCTAATAGATAAACGTGAAAGGCTCCCCCTTATACACCTGAACAAGGACAGGCATACATTTCTTTAATCCACTTGGAAAAGCAGTATGGGACACATTACAATCACCCAAGAAGTTTTAAAAACATACTGAGACCTGAGTCCCACCTCCATCCAAGGAAACCAGAATCCTTAGGAGTGAGGTTCAAATCATTTTTAGACACTCCCAGGTTGTGCAGCTAAGGCTGAGAACCAGTGAACCCTAGCCATCCTATGGATTTCTGGCCAACCAAATCTGGGAATGTCCTAATTTATATGATCCAGCAACATCATGGAGGTTGTGATTTGTTTACTTTAATAGGCAAGGTTTTTTACTGAAATTATTTATTCTATAAATTACATCTAATTCAAGCATGTGCGTTACACAAGTCTCCCTTTTTTTGCCCTATCAGCAGCTGGCACACCCCCGCTGGCAACCCCATTCTCCCATGCTACTTACGCAAGACTTCCATTTGCTGGGCTGGAAACCCACTGTGGAAATCCACAAAGAGAAAAAGCAGCAGAGTGTGTCCCTGAGTGTCCGCGTTCTGGGACTGAGCCCCCTCACTGGATTCTACCTGATAACTCATATCTGGAAGCACCAAATCTATAGGACAAGAGAGCACACCAAAGCGGAGGTTAAGTAAAGCCTTCAAAATGCTAAGGGACGTATATTCTGAACAAAGAAGGATCTGAGAATCAGTCTAAATTCAAACATTCACTTCCCCTCTTCAATTCCTTCTCTATCAACATGAAGGAAGCAAATAATAGTGACTGACTCACAGGAACAACATCAAAATAACAACTGGTTATATAAAATGCAAACCAAACAACACTGTTTTGATTTACTAGGAAACACTTAAACGCATGGATTCCTCATAGAACTTTCTAAGGCGGGTGTGGCTAGTAAGAGGCAGAGGTCAGATTCAAGCCTGAGTAATGATAGTAGCTAGCTTGTGCTACCTGCCAGGTACCATGTTAAAGCCTCATATATTACCTTAACATTTAGATTTCATAACCACATTATGGGATAGGACCTATTCTTATGCTTTTTACAGAGAAGAGGCACAAATAGGTTAAATACCTTGCCCAATGTGAGCCAGTAAATGGTGGAACTGAGTTTTAGACCTTGCTAGACTGTCTCAAAAATCTGTGTTCCCCACCCAAATACTATGTGATATTTGTATTCCTAGGTAATCCAAAGCCCTATGGTCACTTTCTAGCACCTTGATCTTTTGGAATATAATCAGGATACTGCTACCTTCCAGAGCCCTCCAGAGAAGCACCTTTATGTCGATCCTGGTTCTACCCCTGAGAGTAATGAGGGAAGGAGACGAGGGGACGGTTTTTACATATTTATTTCCACTTTTGTTTTGTTTTTGACAGGGTCTTACTTTGTCGCCCTTGGTAGAGTGCCATGGCGTCACGGCTCACAGCAACCTCAAACTCTTGGGCTCAAGTGATTCTCTTGCCTCAGCCCCCCAAGTAGCTGGGACTACAGGCGCCCACCACAACGCCCGGTTATCTGTAGAGGCGGGGTCTCGCTCTGGCTCATTCTGGTCTTGAACCCATGAGCACAGGCAATCCACCTGCCTTGTTCATTGCAAAGTGAACTAAGCAAATTCATCACAAAGTGGCAAAAAATAAAGTAAACCAACAAAGCTTCAAAAGTGAGAGGGAAAAAAAGATGGAGATTTCTAGAAATTCACCTAGGTCACTCCTCTATCCAAAATCCTGATGGGCTGACAGGATAAAACCAAACATTGTTTCCTTACAAACTACCTTCTGAGACCCTGTCCCAGGTTGCCCTCTCACACCCACCCTCTGGTCAAGAACAAAGGAAACTGACCTTGAGGTTTACTTCCTAGGGAGAGATTCTGTCACTGCCCTACCCGAGGAGGCTCCAATCTTCTCATACCAGTCACACCCTAGAATGCCTCTTACTTACCTGTCATCTTCCTCAGGGTCCATATGACCAGACTACCTTCTAAATGTCAAAGGATTCTAACAAACAACAGTTAACCTCAATGTATATTACTACTTCCCAGTTTTATTTATTGCTTCAGTTATTAACTACCAACTTTTAGCATGATTCACCCACTGCTAATGTTTTTAGCCCCACATGAATGTTATATAGCCAGCTTCCCAGGCTTAACCCATTTTTGTGCATTTATGTCGTGTTTTAATTTTTTAAAGTCATTTTATGTTGATTTTCTCATTTCATCATGAAGCATTTCTCATCCCCCACCCCAACCTCAGCCGTCAGATCACTGGGTCTTATTTTTATATACACCTGCTATTTACATTTCCTTTCTCTAATAACCTTCAGGCTTCTTCATTCTTATACAAAGAGAGGGAGACATACCTCTATCCAAATTGAGATCCAAAGTGGGCACCACATGCAAGTGGTATTTTTTCCAGTCAATGAAATAAGAGGTATCTTTGAAGACAGTAGTAATTGGCTGCTCTGGACTTGACATCAGAGGCAGACCCAAAGGTCCATACAGAAATATGTATAGTTGCTAAAGAAAACTGTCAAATTTTAGTTTCTTACGACTATGTATTCACTTGTATAAAATAAACAAAACACTGACACAGCTCGTGCTCCCAGAAATGAACAAGTGTGCCATGCAATTACACACTTGACCTTTTCCACACTTAAGATAGGTGTGAGGCACCAGAGGTCCAGCTACTAGGATATCCAGAAATTTATTCTGGGTTTGATGAATGTGAGCTGTGGGTATAATATTGGCACAGTTCATTTATTCCTCCTCTGCATTCGATCACAGATTTGAGTGGCTCCTAGGCTAACATTGTTCTAAATTCTTGGGTACAAAAATGCATATTCAGATTTAGTATCTATTATTTACTGTAAATGGGAGACAGACATAAAAAGCAATAAACTATAATATACTGTGATATAGACTAGAATAGAAGTTTATACAAAGGGAGCTTTGGGAGACTGAGGCAGATGGATTGCTTGAGGCCAGGAGTTCAAGATTAGTCTGAGCAAGAGCAAAACCCTGTCTGTACATAAAATGGAAAAATTAGCCAGGTTTGGTTGTGGGCACCTGTAATTCCAGTTACTCAGGAAGCTGGGGCAGGAGGATCACTTGAGCGCAGGACTGTGAGGTTACCCTGAGCTATGATGCCAGCACTGCACTCAAGTGACAAAGCAAGATCTTGTCTCAATAATAATAAACAGAAGCTGGCTTGGTGCTCGTAGCACAGTGGTTACAGTGTCAGCCACATACACCAAGGGTGGTGGGTTCAAACACAGCCCGGGCCAGCTAAACACCAATGACAACTGCAACAAAAAAAATAGCTGGGCCTTGTAGTAGGCGCCTGTAGTCCCAGCTACTTGGGAGGGTGAGGCAAGAGAATCACTTAAGCCCAAAAGTTTGAGGTTGCTGTGAGCTGTGATGTCATAGCACTCGACCAAGGGCAACATAGTGAGACTCTTATCTCAAAAAAAATAATAAAAAAATCAAATAAAACAGAAGCATATACAAAGGAATATTTTCTAGAAAGGATCTGAGTATGTTTAAATTGAGAAGGAAACTTCTTACCGTCTCCAACCTTATTCTCTAAGTAAGACAGAGGCAGATAGGCCCCTGAAATGGTCTCCTTCTCTGGACTTCCCATTCTTACATTCATCTTACCTCCAACCCAGGGTTTCCTGACCTCTGGAGTACTGACACCTTGGGCTAGATAAATCTTCAGCAGGGTTGGGGGGGTGGGGGGCTGTCTTATGCACTGAAGGCTGTTTAGCAGCATCCCTGGTCTCTACCCAGATGCCAGTACCACCCCTCCTGACATGACCCCCTCCCATGACAATCAAAATGTCTCCAGATATTGCCAAATGTCCTCTAAGGACAAAATTCCCTATTAAGAACCGTTGCTTAACCTTTCTTGTCCCCTGAACCAAGGTTAAAGTGATTAGAGTATGTGCTTTCCTTGTCTTTATCCTCTTTCTACAGGGTAAACACAAGGTATTAAATATAAATATTAAAATTCTTACCCAGGAGGCAATGGGACATTATGGAAAGTCATACCAGAAAGGGGAAGGCATTATCCATAAAAGAAGTCTCCCTCACAAATCTCAGAAGGCATTAACACACAAACTAAAGCCAACATAGTCATTGTTTACAGCCAGGGGATCTTCAAGATGCTTCAAACTCAAAATAAGAATGGACAGTCTGAAGAGCCAAAACATGGTTATCTTTTAACTGGATTGTTTAAACCATTCACATTTATTAGGAATACAGCTATGGTGCAATTTACTAATTTATTTATACATATATGTGTATATACATACATATATATATATAGATTTTTTTTTTCTTTGAGACAGAGTCTCACTCTATTGCCCTGGGTAAAGTGCCATGACATCACAGTTCATGGCAACCTCAAACTCTTAGGCTCAAGCCAGCCTCTTGCCTCAGTCTCTTGAATAGCTGGGACTACAAGCATGAGCCACTACTCCCAGCTAGTTTTTCTATTTATGGTGTGGTTTAAATCTATCATCTTGTTCTCTACTTTCCATTTATTCCTTGTGTTTTTCTACTTTTATATTTTCAGAGTCTATTTTGGATTAGATAATTTTTATAGTTCCATTTTACCTTCTTTTTAGATTATTAGTTATAACTGCCATATTAATTTAGGGATTGCTTTAAGCTTATACAATCTTTTTTTTTTGAGACATTCTCACTATGTCACCCTCAGTAGAGTGCCATGGCATGACAGCTCACAGCAATCTTAAACTCTTGGGCTTAAGCAAGTCTCTTGCCTCAGCCTCTCAAGTAGCTGGGACTAAAGCTTCCCACAACAGCCAGGCTGTTTTTGTTGTTGTTGTCGTCATTATTATTTAGCAGGCCTGGGCTGAGTTTGAACCCACCAGCCCCGGTGTATGTGGTTGGTGTACTGAGCTAAGGGTGCCAAGCCTAAAGTTACATAATCTTATCATAGTAAACTTCAAATGATAATGATAACAGTTTACATATAGTGTAAGAATCCAGCAATATACTTCCATTTCTCCCTTCTTGGCCTTTGTGTTATTATTGCCACACGTTTTGCTTCCATGTATGTTATAAACGCTGTTATTTTAGCTGACTATTTAAATAGTCAATTACCTTTTAAAGAGATTTTTTTTTTAAAAAAAGGACAAAAATCTGGCTTGGCACCCCTAGCTCAGTGGTTAGGGCACTGGCCACATACACCTAGACTGGCGAGTCTGAACCTGGCCCAGGCCTGCTAAACAATAATGACAACTGCAACAGAAAAATAGCCGGGCACTGTGGCAGGCGCCTGTAGTCCTAGCTACTTGGGAGACTGAGGGAGGCAAGTGAATTGCTTGAGCCCAACAGTTTGAGTTTGAGGTTGCTCTGAGCTGTGATGCCACAGCACTCTACAGAGGGCAACACAGTGAGACTCTGTCTTTAAAAAGAAAAAAAAGACAAAATTTTTTTATATATGCATCTACCCACTTAGATACCATTTCCAGAGTCCTTTTCTGTGTGTAGGTCCAGAATTCTATCTGCTGTCATTTTCCTTCCACCTGCAATATTTCCTTTAACATTTTTTATAATACAAGTTTGCTGGTGATTAATTCTTTTATCTTGTGTATATCTGAAAAATTCTTCATTCTTTTTTTTTTTTAATTTTTTTTTTATTGAGACAGAGCCTCAAGCTATCCCCCTGGGTAGAGTGCCCTGGCATTACAGCTCACAGCAACCTCCAACTCCTGGGCTCAAGCGAGTCTCCTGCCTCCGCCTCCCAAGTAGCTGGGACCACAGGCGCCAGCCACAACGCCCGGCTGTTTTTTGGTTGCAGCCGTCATTGCTGTTTGGTGGGTCCAGGCTGGATTTGAACCCAAAAGCTCAGGTGTACATGGCTGGTGCCTTGGCCAGTTGAGCTATAGGCGCCGAGCCTAAGGTGGGATGTTAAATCAGTCTATAATTCTATCATGTTCACAAGTGAGTCCCTAAATCTTTCTGAAACGATCTTACCGGCCTTTGATGACTCCCTTGCTTTCTGACCCAGCATGCTACCCATTCATCTTGTACATTTCCACTCTAGGACTAGAATCAGCCATTTTAGTGAGCAACAGTATTTAGAAAACACATTCTGGGTACTATGAGTGCTTATTGCTAGTGAATTGTCATTGCCTATAGGTTTTTTCAATGGAAACAACTAAAAAAACCAAAACATTTTAAAAGCCATAAAAATTGTGGATTTACACTGGTATTCTCAATTGTAATTTGTAGTTGCTTTTTAAAAAAATTATGTTATTTCTTTGTTTTTGTTTTTGTTTTTTGTTTGTTTTTTGAGATAAGAGTCTCACCCTGTCACCCTTGGTAGACTGCCATGGCATCATAGCTCACAGCAACCTCAAACTCTTGGGCTTAAGCGATTCTCTTGCCTCAGCCTTCTGAGTAGCTGGGACTACAAGCGCCAGACACAATGCCCAGCTATATTTTTTGTTGCAGTTGTCATTGTTTAGCAGGCCAGGGCCAGGTTTGAACCCTCCAGCCCTGGTGTGTGTGGCTGGCACCCTAACCACTGAGCTATGGGTGCCAAGCCATGTTATTTCTTTGAATTTACACTCATATATCTTCTATCTGATGCTGAAAATTTTGGTTCCTAACAATGTTAACATAATTACTTATTTGTTTTATCATAAGTATGCATACAACAATTTCAATATAAATACCAATATTATTACTAATAATCAAGATCACTGAATGAATTTTAAGAGTTCTCTGTACTTCATTTCATCCTTAGAGTATATCCCACTAACAATGTGCAATCAAAACACCATGTTCTGAAGTCAATTGAATTGTTCTTGCTATATGGATTATGAAATTGATATAATATATAGGTAGGTTTATTACCTTTTATCTTGAGGGATATTTTTACTGGGTATGAAATTCTAGGTTGGTGATTATTTTATTTCAGGGCACTAACACTATTCCTTTACCACCTTCCTTTGGTATGGAGAAGTCAACTGTCAATTTTGTTCCTATTTTAAAGATAATCTGTCTTCCTGGCTGATATTTGAGGTTTTTCTCTTTGTCTTTGATCTTCTCTAGGTACAGATATCTTTGTTCATATATTCTGCTTGATAGTTGAGTTTTAAAATCTGTTTTGGTTGTTTCAGCCATTAACTCTTTAAATATTGCTCCTGTCCTCTGGATATTATCGTATTTAAAAATTGTTAAACAATTTGAAGCATAGACTACAGTTACTTTCTTCCAGAAATAATTTTTATTTGCTTCTATAACACATCTAGAATTAGCAATCTAGAATCACTCTAATCCAATTTCAAAGTTTAAGATTTTCTGGCCTGCCTAGATGACTAAAAAATATGCAGTCCAGGTTAACTCCTTAAAATGAACGCTTTCACTTATCCATGCCAAAAACAAGTGTTTTAACAGCACCCCAAATTCAGCAGGTCTGGATTCTTTGGCCTTCTTGTCCCACACTGATTCAGAAGTATATTTTAGCCTCTCAGCTACTTGTTTTTGGGGGGGTTTTTTTGTGTGTGTGCAGTTTTTGGTCGGGGCTGGGTTTGAACCCACCACCTCCAGCATATGGGGCTGGTGACCTACTCCTTTGAGCCACAGGCGCCACCCACAGCTACTTGTTTTAATTGGCAAATGACCCATAGGACAAAAGTAGTCCCAATGCTAAGTCAGCTCTCCATTCCTCCCTTTCACTAGCTCATTGATGCTTCTGATGTTTATGTATTTTATCCATCCTTTGTCTTCACTGGGAGAGTTAGTTAAAATTATCTAGTTTGCCACTCTCAGAAACTGAAATCCCACCTGAGTTTTCAGTGCTATTTCTCTCTCTTGATTAAAATTTTACCTCCTCAAGACTATTCACTGATCATATTTAAAATAACATCCCCATCATTCTCCATCTCTTCACCGGCTTTGAATTCACTGCACTATCACTACCTAATATCTATCTATCCATCTATCTATCTATCCATCTATCTATCTATCTATTTTTGAGACAAAGTCTTGCTTTGTTGCCCTTGGAGAGTGCCGTGGCATCATAGGTCACAGCAACCTCAAATTCTTGGGCTCAACCAATCCTCTTGCCTTAGACTCCCAAGTAGATGGGACTATAGGCACCCGCCATAATGCCCAACTATTTTTAGAGATGGGATCTCACTCCTGATCAGGCTGGTCTCGAACTCCCGAGCTCAAGCAACCCACTTGCCTTGGTTTCCCAGAGTGTTAGGATTATAGGTGTGAGGGCCACCACACCTAGCCCCCTAATATCTATTTAATTGTTAAACTTTTCCACTAAAATATAAAGTCTAAGAGGACAGAAAATCTGTTTCTTATTCCTTCTAAAGAATGGAATGAGAAAGAAGAAACTTTTATTCTTTGCTTTATACTCTTCTGTACTATCTAGATATTAAGAAAAAGGATGTTTTAAAATATGAGGTGTCCGTGCATAGTTTTTACCACTGTCCTGTCCTTCTTCTCCTTAGTAAGATATCCTGATATTGTCAAATAGCTGACATCTACCATTCCATGCCTCTTCTGTTCTCATTCTTTTTATTTTTAAAATTCAAACAGGGTCTCACTATGTTGTCCAGGCTAGCTAGCCTCAAACTCTTGGGATCAAGTGATCCTCCTGCCTCAGCATCCCAAGGACCTGGGATTTAGGCATGTGCCACTGCATCCAGCTTTGTTCTCTTCAGTAACTTTGTTTACTCCTTATAGCTTCAATCATACAGTAATAATAATTATTGAGCACTTATTATGTGTCAGTGTGTTTCATATAAATAATTATAGTTAATTCTAAAAAACCAGCAAACAAGCACCAAAAGAACAATACAACCTTTGAGAGGGAAAGTAAACAAATCTCCCAGTCAGGCATTATTATCTTCATTTTATAGTAAGGAGGGAAAGGCTTAGGCTAGTTAGGTAAGTGGCTCCTAGGCAAATAGCCAACTAAAGGTGAATCATATTCCTGTGCCATGGTCTAAATGCAACCCTAGAGGACACTTCACCTATGGTGGAAACTGACACTCTAAAAACCTGATCACTTCCCACTTCCAGACCAAGATTCCTATACAGATGCTTTCCATCTTCAAAGGATGTCCTGCAGGCATCATAAGTTCAACATGTTCAAAGCCAAACTCATCTTCTTTATCTCCTAAATATGCTATCAATGTTTTGCATTTTGCTGACAGTATCATTATTCTATTAACCATCCATGGAAATATTTTTTTTAAGAAACATGGTCTCACTCTGTCACCTAGCCAGAGTGCAGGTGGCCCAATCATAGTTCCATGTAGCCTTCAACACCTGGGCTCAAGCTATCCTCTTGAATCAGCCTCCTGACTAGCTGGGACTCTAGGTGCACACCACCACACTGGCTACTTTTTTTCTTTCTTTTTTTTGAGACAGAGTCTCATTTTGTCACCCTCGGTAGAGTGCTATGGCATCCCAGCTCACAGCAACCGCAAACTCTTGGTCTTAAGCGATTCTCTTGCCTCAACCTTCCAAGTAGCTATAGGTGACGCCACAACACCCAGCTATTTTTTTGTTGTTGTAGTTGTCATTGTTGTTTGGCAGGCCCGGACAGGTTCAAACCCACCAGCCCCAGTGTACGTGGCTGGCTCCCTCACTACTGAGATATGGGCACTGAGCCCCACCACACTCTTAATTCAGGCACTCATCATCTCTTAACCCAGTTCTCTTACTTACTTCTAATTATTACTTAGTACTTACTAATCTTACTAATTATTACTTAGTAATAATTAACTTCTCTTTCCCAGGATTATGTTTTTATACAAATCACACAAGCTTGTAGATACAGAATTCATATACTAAAGGCTTTCCTAAAACTAGGGCATAAAACCCATCTTAAAGGACAATTGGACAGAATTTATCATCAAAAAGATATGGAAACTGAAGAAATCCTGTTCAACTGGTTGGAAAAGTCCTTCAGGGTAGGGCAGAGAGCAGCAGCTGGCGTCAGTGTTAGCTCTCCTGACAAGTCCACGCCAATCATGTCATCAGGGATGGAAAGCGTTACTGGGTGTCCTAGCACAGGGTGAATTCTGCTACAGTATGATTCAGTTGTACCAAATTTTGGTCTACTGTCAGAAAACAGACAAGACAAATTTAACTTTTTTTTCCTCTTAAGAAATTATTTAAGGTTGAGCTCAGTGGCTCATGCCTGTAATCTTAGCATTCTGCAAGGTCAACACATGTAGACTGACTGAGCTCACAGGGTTCAAAACCAGCCTAAGCTAGAGTGAAACTTCATCTCTAAAAATAGCCAGGCATTGTGACATGAACCTGTAGTTCTAGCTACCTGGGAGGCTGAGGCAAGAGAATCATTTAAGCCCAAGAGTTTGAGGTTGCTGTGAGCTGTGATGTCACAGCACTCAACTGAAGGCGATAAAGTGAAACTCTGTCTCAAAAATAAATAAATAAGTAAATTCTCATATGAGAGGCAATTTTGGGTGAGAATAAGAAAATAGTCTAAAAAATCTTGGACAGTCTCTTCAAATTGTAACATCCTTATGACTTATTAGTATTGACTTGGGGCATATACACAGAGACTTAAGCATATATTAGGTCTTTTTAAAAATAAATATAGCTCATGTTCACTTTGGATTCTGTAGCAGCTGAATGACACAAGAAGGTGAGGCAGAAGGTTCTATCTGTGCCATATTATTGGCATTTCCTCCATGGATTTATGTTTGGAGTCTGAAGGAGGTTGAGGTGGGTAGAAAGATGTTTTCCCAACTTATGCAAAATGCTGATGCACAAAAAATAATATATAATGAATACTTCTGTATTCATACTATCTCTCTAGCCAAGAGTTCAAGAAAACTTTTAAATTCCTCTCTTCTTATTTCTAAATGGGTTTATAATAGCATGGTCTGCTTCTTTTCATTTATGGAAGAAAATAAGGCAGGGAGAAGAGAGGAACATGTCCTCAGGTTAAGTAGAATATATTCAGGAAGCCAAGAATAATAACAGTTTTCAAAATCGATAAATTAAAAGTGTTACTTCTACTTTCTTTCTGTTGTCCAGGCTAGAATGCCATGGCATCATCATAACTCCCTGCAACCTCAAACTCCTGAGCTCAAGCATCCATTTTTCTTAAAGAGAAATGGCATTTAGAAATGACAAGTGAGACCATTTCCAATTTCTAACCACACTCATCTTCAGAATAGGAGAGTCAAACATGGAGACAGCAAACAATGCTTTTCGCCTTCACCTCACATAATGCTGTGAGTTTACGACAAGAGCAATTCCATTCCACAGGTTCAATGTGGGTTCATTCTCTACCCTGCAAAGCAAAGAAAAGCTAAGCTATCTCTCACAGATTCTGAAATCAATCTCTGCTATCACCCCCTGTGATTATTGGAATTCAGTAACTAATTAATGGAAGGAGAAATGGAAATTTTTAAGTTCACCTTCTCTAGTGAAAGGGAAAGACATGAAAGGTTTAGATGAATCTATTTGTTTACTGAAAGTTAATACAGAATAAGAAAATGTGAGGGCTGGGCATGGTCGCTCATGCCTGTAATCCCAGGACTCTGGGAGGCAGAGGTGGGCAGATCACCTGAGCTCATGGGTTCAAGACAAACCTGATCCACAGCAAGACCCTGTCTCTAAAAATAGCCAGGTGTTGTGGTGGGCGCTTGTAGTCCCAGCAACTTGGGAGGCTGAGGCAAGAGAATCGCTTGAGCCATGAGTCTGAAGTTGTTGTGAACTGTGACGCCATAGCACTCTATGGAGGGCGACAAAGTGAGACTCTGTCTCCCCTCCTCCGAGCCCCCCCCAAAAAGAAAATGTGGAGATCTCAGAAAATTAGTCACAAGGTGACTTTGGGTCAATAAATCAAACTGTGACCCTACTGGAAATAGGACAATAATGGCTGAGAAAAACTGCGGAGCCATAACATCAGATTAAGCCATGGACTTAAGGACTTACCCAAAGATCTCCTTGGAGAGGATTCCATTTACCTTTAGACTGAAATTAAATCTGATCTGCAAAACAGTAAATGAGGTATGAGATTTAACATGAGCCAGGATAGAGATTAAAAACTTCCATACTCTATCCCTAAAAGAATTTTTTTTTTTTTTTTTGAGACAGAGTCTCACTTTCTCACCCTGGGTAGAATGTTGTGGCATCATAGCTCACAGCAACCTTAAACTCCTGGGCTCAGGTGATCCTTTTGCCTTAGCCTCCCAAGTATCTGGGATTAGAAGCCTGCCACAACACTCAGCTACTTTTTTAGAGATTGAGTCTTGCTTTTGTTCAGCTGGTCTCAAACTCCTGAGCTCAGGCAGTCCACCTGTCTCAGCCTCCCAGAGTGCTAGGATTATATGTGTGAGCCACCAGGCCCAGCTAAAAAGAATATTCTTTTAAAAAAATTTTAGGCTCGGCACCTGTGGCTCAAGCAGCTAAGGCGCCAGCCACATACACCTAAGGTGGCGGGTTCGAATCCCCAGCCCGGGCCCACCAAACAACGATGGCCAAAAAAATGGCCAGGCGTTGGGGCGGGCGCCTGTAGTCCCAGCTACTTGGGAGGCTGAGGCAGGAGACTCGCTTGAGCCCAGGAGTTGGAGGTTACTGTGAGCTGCGATGCCATGGCACTCTACCCAGGGGAATAGCTTGAGGCTCTGTCTCAAAAAAAAAAAAAATGTTAATTACCCCTTCCCTTCCCCCTTTTTTTTAATTGTTTCTGGGACTTGGGTACATTTTCTTTTTAGACACAAGCATTTATTGTATTTTTAAATCTTACATATTTCTTAATACTAAGTTTCACATGGGTTGCATACGTCTAGCCGGGAGATGAGGAGGCACAGGTGGCCAGATGGCTTGGGAGTGGGTCTTTTATCCTCCATAATTATCAAGGCAATGCCAATGAAAGGAAGGAACATGCCAGTGGTTCAGGTCACGTGGGTCAGAGCCTGCCAAATTGTTTGTATACATCTATCTCCATGACCCATGGAAAGCTGACATGGACGTGATATATATTCCCCGTCCCGCTGTGACTTCAGACATCCTCAGGGGAATCATCATTGTCATCATCACACACGGGGTACACCTAGGCACCTAGGGCACATATGGCAACAGCCCCGATGTTTCCACCATGAAAACTGATTCATGTGGGTGAGGCCCGGGAGTATGGGCAGTGGCACAAGAAGTCAGCTGAGTGGAGAAATGTCACAGAGGGCCTGGGCATGGTGGCTCATGCCTGTCATCCTAACACTCTGGGAAGCTGAGGCGGATGGACTGCTTGAGCTCAGGAGTTTGAGACCAGCCTGAGCAGGAGTGAGACCCCCACCTTCAACCCCCATCTCTACTAAAAAACAAAGACAGTGAGGCAAGAGGATCGCTTGAGAGAAAAAAAATAAAAATAACATTTTAAAAATTAATACCAGTTTTACTATTTTTAATCAACAAACTATAATTACATACATTCATGGTATACAATGTAATATTTGATTTATGTATCCTATATTGAATAATTAAATCAAGCTGATTAACAGGAGTTCAAGAGAAGCCTAGGCAATATAACCAAGACCCTGTCTTTAAAACAATTTTAAAAATTAGCTGGGCATGGTAGACTATGCCTGTAGTCAGCTACTCAGGATGCTGAGGCAGGAGGATCTCTTGAGCTCAGAAATTCAAGGTTGTAGTGAGCAATGTTTGAGCCACTGCATTCTAGCCTGGTGACAGAATAAGACTCTGTCTCTGAAAAGGCCATGGAGATGACAATAAAACCTATTCCATGGGGTTGTTGTGAGGATTAAATGACTGAGTGTATAGCGAGCCCTTAGAATAGTGACTGGCAATAAGCAATTAAACCCTGCTGAAGACAGAAAAAGCAGGAAGATAGCACAAGAAAATGGTGAGGTCATATGACATATTTAGCTGTGTTCGTCTTTATAAATATAGCTAACTAAGATAAGGATTAAAAATTTAGCTCTCCAATGTTCAAAAATATTTTATCAAAATTTCCTTATTTTGGTTGGGCACAATGGCTCACACCTGTAATCCCAGCACTTTCAGAGACCAAGGCAGGAAAAGTACTTGAGGCCAGAAGTTCAAGACCAGCCTGGGCAACATAATGAAATCCTTGTCTCTACAAAAATTTGAATATTAGCTGGTCAAAATTTGAGGCTACACCAGGAGGACTGCTTGAGCTTTGGAGTTAGAGGTAGGCATCCTCAAACTACGGCCCGCGGGCCACATGCAGCCTGCCTAGGACATTGATCTGCGCCCCCCCCCCGGGGTGTTTTTGCCGCCGCTGCCTATCCTGCTTAGCAGCCAACTCATCCAGGGGTCTGCAGTCCAGCCCTCCAACGGTCTGAGGGACAGTGAACTGGCCCCCTGTTTAAAAAGTTTGAGGACCCCTTAAAAGTCCTTATTTGTTCTTACAGTCAGTTACTTCAGAAAAGAAGATAAACTAGCCAGGCATTGTGGTGGAAACCTCTAGTCCCAGCTCCTTGGGAGGGTGAGGCAAAAGGATCACTTGAACACAAGAGTATGAGGTTGCTGTGAGCTATGACGTCACAGCGCTCTACCCAAGGCGACAAAGTAAGACTTTGTCTCAAAAAGAAAAAAAACAAAAGAAAAGGAGAAAATCAGTTAAGGTTTATTACCTAGGTTTAAAAGAAAAATGAAGCACAGAGGGAAGTGAGGTATCTAGATTGATAGAATAAAACATCAAGAAAGTAAGAAAGTGAAAATAAGAATTCAAAAGAAAGCTTTGTGTCCAGAGGCCTCTCAGCTGTGTCACACAACCAATATAATGATTGCCTTAAGGACACAGAAACCACATAGCTGGGCGCAGTGGCTCACACCTGTCATCTTAGCATTCTGGGAGGCCGAGGTAGGTGGAACACTGAGCTCACAAGTTCGAGACCGGGCTCAGCAAGAGACCCCTGTCTCTACTGAAAAAATTAAAAAGTGAGGTAAGAGGATCGCTTGAGCCCAAAGTTTGAGGGTGCTTTGAGCTATGATGCCAGGAGGACAAAATGAGACTCTGTTAAAAAAAAAAAAAAAAGAAATACAATAACTAAGAAAATGACATGAAGACTATGTTAACCAGTTTGGAAAAAAAAAAGACACAGAAAGCAAGTTAATTCAATATATATATACATATATGTATATTTTGAGACAGAGTCTCACCTTGTCACCCTTGGTAGAGTGCGGTGGCGTCACAGCTCACAGCAACCTCAAACTCTTGGGCTTAAGCGATTCTCTTGCCTCAGCCTCCCAAGTAGCTAGGACTACAGGCACTGGCCACAATACCCGGCTATGTTTTTATTGCAGTTGTCAGTGTTGTTTAGCTGGCCTGAGCCAGGTTTGAACCCACCAACTTCAGTGCACGTGGCTGGTGCTGTAACCACTGTGCTACCTACCGGCACTGAGCCAATTAATTCAATATTAAAAGTTTTAATCATCTTCACTGAAAAGAGAAACTATCATATCCTTCCATGTTCTATAAAGTAGTGATCTCTTGAAACATATGACTTAAACAAGAGCAGCATTATTGTGCAAAAGAACAAGGTTACCTTAGGGTGCACCATGGTGATTTTATGTAAAAAATGCTTTATAACCAAACAGTCTGTCATCAAAGTTCTGGGCTTTTCATCAACCTGTAACAACACAACAAACAAAAACACTAAAACCTACTAAACATATACAAATTCAAGAGAACAAATGAATCAAATTATGGTATTTCTTCTCATAAAAGTAACTAAAACCCAGAAAGCTTTTTACTTCCAAGAAGAAGTATCCTTAGGAATAAGAATTATACACAAATGGAATCTAAATAACCATCACTTCTTGTGGAACTTCAGGAGATACATGAAGATGGATCAGAGTAAAACCCAGTGTCAAAACTATGTTTAAATTTAAAAGCAATTCAAACTAGAACTGAGAACTGAAACTGAGAGACCCATCTCTGCAAAAATATATTTTAAAAATTTAGCCAGGGCTGGTGCAGTGGCTCACACCTGTAATCTGAGCACTCTGGGAGGCTGAGGCGGGTGGACTGCCTGACCTCATAGGTTCAAGACCAGCCTGAGCCAAGGCAAGACAGCTGGGCATTGTGGCGGGTGCCTATAGTCCCAGCTACTTGGGAGGCTGAGGCAAGAGAATGGCTAGAGCCCATGAGTTTGAGGTTGCTGTGAGCTATGATGCCACAGCACTCTACCAAGGGCAACAAAGTGGAAGATCTGTCTCTAAAAAATAACAATAAAATAAAATAAACATGTTGGCTCGACACCTGTAGCTCAAGTGGCTAAGGCGCCAGACACATACACTGGAGCTGGTGGTTTCAAATCCAGCCCGGGCCCACCAATGACAGCTGCAACCAAAAAATAGCTGGGCATTGTGGTGGGTGCCTATAGTCCCAGCTACTTGGGAGGCGGAGGCAGGAGAATTACTTGAGCCCAGGAGTTGGAGGTTGCTGTGAGCTGTAATGCCACAGCACTCTACCCAGGGTGACAGCTTGAGGCTCTGTCTCAAAAAAAAAAAAAAATGTAGCCAGGTGTGGTGGTACATGCTTGTAATCCCTTCTACTGGAAAAGCTAAGGCAGGAGGATCATTTGAGTCCAAAAGTTTGAGGTTGCAGTGAGCTATGATGATGCCACCACACTACCCAGGTAACAACATGAGACCCTGTCTCAAATTAACAACAACCAAAAAAAATAATCTGAGTGGAGTTAAAACAGCAGATCCTAAAAAGGTATCATTCCATTCACCCATTTTTTTCAGACATTTATTCATAAGAAAAAGCTATACAGCAAAAAGCTCAGAAGTCCGAAGACCTGTATTCTAATATAAGCTCTGTAAAAACTTAGGTAACCAGGGTGGCACCTATGGCTCAAAGGAGTAGGGCACTGGCTCCATATACCGGAGGTGGTGGGTTTAAACCCAACCCCGGCAAAAAATAAAACTGCAAAAAAGTTAGGTAATCATGAAAAGGAAATCACTTCACTACTCTGGACCTCATTTCTTAAGCTGCAAAACAGGGATAAAAGCTACCCTTTCTATCTTACAGAATTGTTTTAAGGATCCCTATGTATTATGTACTATACATGGTAACAATAATAGATACAACTCATTGAATGCCTATTATCATGACAAGCATTATGCATGTGTGATATATACCCCACCTCACAACAATCCTATAAAGCACCATCCCTTTTGGTAGATTAAAAAAAAGGCTCAGAGAAGTTAAGCATCTTATCTAAGGTCACCCAGCTATTTAGTGGTAGAGTTAGCATTTGAACCTAAGTTTTATTTATTTTTTTTTTTAGTTATTTGTTTAGTTGTTTGAGTGACCCTAAGTCTAATACCAACTACCCACACTCTTTCCAATATACTATGACATTTCCCTATAACCAGGGCTTCTTCTATCCCAGGAATGGTGCTAAAGTATCTTATTTACATTACCTCATTAAACTTTCACAAACTCCCTACAGTTTATAAATGGGAAAAAAAAAATGAGTCTCAAATAGTTAAATGGACCAGGTAAAGCAGCGCATGCCTATGATCCTAGCACTCTGGGAGATGAGAGCAGGTGGACTGCTTGAGGCAGGTGGATTACTCAGGAGTACGAGACCAGCCTGAGCAAGAGTGAGACCTTGTCTCTACTACAAAAAGAAAAACTAGACAGGACACTGTGGCAGATTCCTATAGTCCCATCTACTCAGGAGGCTGAGGCAGTAGGATCACTGAGCCCAGGAGTTAGAGGTTGTACAGGTAGTGAGCTCCAGCCCAAGCAACAGAGCAAAAAAAAGGGGTTAAACTACTTGCTCGAGGTTAGCCATGTCAATTTGGCTCCAGATGTTTAGATCTTTAATATTAAATATTTTCCTATACTGACTCACTGTATTTAATACGGTGTCCCTAAAACCAAAGTTAGAAACAGTCTCCTAAAAAATCGAGAAGTCCAGGAAAATGAAAGAAGAAATACATTCAGAAACTGGTAGGCGCTTACTAATGGCTCAGAGAATACAGAGCCACCTACTAGGTACATGTCAAAGAAAAATAAATGGTGCCAGATCTCAAAATCTTATAACACAATAAAGAAGCAGCATGCAAATATCTAATAAAGACAAACTACTATATTTTTATAGGCACCCTGAAAAAGAGGTCAAAAACTGTGGCAATAGGTGGGGATTAGAAAAATTATTAGAAAATATTTGAAAAAATTAAAAGAGAAATGGATGAGGATTATTAGAAAAATTCTGGAAACAAGTATAGTTTCCAGAGTATAAATAGTGATAATTAAGTAGTAACTGCAGGCTGGGCATGATGGCTCATGCCTGTAATCCCAGCACTCTGGGAGGCCAAGGAGGATGGATTGCCAGAGCTCATAGGTTCAAGACCAGACTGAGCCAGAGCAAGACCCTGTCTCTAAAAAAAATAGCCAGGTGTTTTGGTGAGAGCCTGTAGTCCCAGCTACTTGGGAGGCTGAGGTAAAAGGATCGCTTAAGCCCAACAGTTTGAGGTTGCTGTGAGCTGTGATGCCATGACGCTCTACCAAGGGTGAGAAAGGGAGACTGTCTCAAAAAAAAAAAAAAAAAAGAAAGAAAGAAAAAGAAAAAGAAAAAAGAAATAATATAAAAATAAATAAAAATTTGTTTTGATTCCTAAGAGTCATGATATAAAGATGTGTCATGGCTCGGCGCCTATAGCTCAACCGGCTAAGGCGCCAGCCACGTACATCTAAGGTGGCAGGTTCGAATCCCCAGCCCTGACCGCCAAACAACGAGGGCTGCAACCAAAAAATAGCCGGGCGTTGTGGCGGGCGCCTGTGGTCCCAGCTACTTGGGAGGCGGAGGCAGGAGACTCGCTTGAGCCCAGGAGTTGGAGGTTGCTGTGAGCTGTAATGCCACAGCACTCTACCCAGGGGGACAGCTTGAGGCTCTGTCTCAAAAAAAAAAAAAAAAAAAAAAAAGACGTGTCATGATCTCACTAAGTACTATTGGAATTAGTTTTTCCCCTCATGCCCAAATTGATGGATCATTTATTATAGCTTTTTCATGGATATCTTCATTAAACAGTCTTTGCTATGAGCCTCAATACTCAACCCTTCTCTCTACTGAGGAATACATGATGAAATCTTTTGCAAAACCTCTTTTCCTCTTCTAATTCTTTTCATTCGAATTTCTTTTTCTCTTTTTTTGAGACAGAATTTCACTTTGTCACCCTGGGTAGAGTGCCTTGGCCTCATAGCTCACAGCAACCTCAAACTCCTGGACTTAAGTGGCTCATTTGCCTCAGTCTCCAGAGTAGCTGGGACTACAGGTGCCTGCCACAACGTCTGGCTATATTTTAGACGGGATCTCACTCTTGCTTAGGCTGGTCTTAAACTCGTGAGCTCAAGCAGTCCACCCACCTCAGCTTCTCAGAGTGCTAGGATTACAGGCATGAGCCATGGCACCTGGCCCTTTTTTTCCTCTTCTGAAACACCAGGGAGGCTGGAGTACAGTTGTTTGATCAAAGCTCACTGCTCCTTGAAACTCCTGGGCTCAAAGGATCATCCTGCCTCAGCCTCCCTTGTAGCTAGGACTACACATATATGCCATCATGCCTGGCTAATTTTTTGGTAGAGACAGGGTCTTGCTCTATTGCCCAGGCTGGTCTCTACCTCTTGGCCTCAAATGGTCCCCTTCTTCCTCAGCTTCCCAAAGTGCTGGGATTACAGATGTGAGCCACCAAACCCAGCCTTGGTTCAAGTTCTAATTCTGCTGCTTAACTTTTGTATGACATTCAGTCAAATTCTTTGAATCTCAGTTTTCTTCTCTATAAAACTGGGCGATGATCCTTGTCCTATCTACTTTATAGAGTGTTCAAGAGGCTTAAATAATATTAATAATTTAAATGTTAAGTATGCAAATTATTGCTTGTTCCGACTAGCTAAAACATTCAATGTCATTTCCTAGAATTGCTTTCCTTGGTTCACTGGAATCACCTTTTTATTACCACTTGACATTAATAGTTTCAGAGCCAACTAATCATTAACTGCTACCAATATTTACCCCATGTTTTCCTAAAGAAGATAAGGCACAGCCAGGGATATCTACTGTCCTGTACGGACCCACCCCTTTCAGAAGGAGCATATAATTATTCAGACATGGAGAAGGTTTCCCAAATGCTTCCTGGAAGAATGCTCTAATTTCTTATGTCCCTACCAACTCCAAGGAAGAAAAGAAAGGAGATCAGAGAATTGTTAAAGGGAATGGAGAGTGAATTGTCAATCTCATAAATGTGGATTACAAATAAATCAGTAAAGAGATCTCTAAAGCAATGTAATAAAAATATATCTAAATATGATTTGCACTGGAAATTTTTATTTTATCAAGAAATCCAAATTCAAATAAGAGCTTATTTTGGTTGTTCTGAAACTTATTTGGACATGAGGAATCACCTGGCATTTAAAAAATATTCCAAGCCCTAGGCCACACCTGTTATGGACTGGATTTTGTCCCACAAACTTCCTATGAACCCCTAATCTCCACTTTGACTGAATTTGGAGGTAGGGACTTAAAGAAGTAATTAAAGTTGAACGTCTTTAATCTAGAGGACTGTTATCCTTATAGAAAGAGACACCAGAGATCTTTCTTTAAACATACACTCCACATAGGGATACAGCAATAAGGCAACATTCTGCAAGCTAGGAAGAGAGACCTCACCAGAAACCAACCCTAAAAGCATCCTGATCTTGCACTTCTACCCTTTGGAACTGTGAGAAAATAAATCTCTGTTGTTTAAGCCACCTACTTGGTAGTATTTTGTTATGGCAGCCTGAACAAGTAAAACACCCAGACCAATTAAATCACAACATCTTTGAGTGGAACACAGACATCAGTATTTTGGAAGCTCCTAGGTAACCTAATGTCCACACAGGCAAACTTAGGAACCAGTGCCCCTATTTCACTTCAACATGGACCCATGATGGACCTAGGCTTTTCTTTCCTGTTATTATATTTGTAGAAAAATCAAGAATAAAGTCATCAGTAATTTACAGAACCACAACAAAACCTGCCTCAAAAATCATCTGGAAGGGTGTTACTGCTGACATGAGCTGGGAGCAGCTGCTGTCCTCGGGAATCCCGCTCAGCTTTGCAGAGAATCTGGGCAGTACGGACTGTATTTCTGTGTGAGAGGAATGCAACAAAGTAGAATAAGCAGTTTGGATAAGCACCAGAATTTCTGGATTTGTTTATTGAACTGATTAAGCCAAGAAGGCTTTTCTCTGATGAAAAGATTACCTGCAAAATTTAAAATATGACTGGAAATGGCTATGCATCAACAAACTGCTTGAACATTTAGACTTACTTAATGAGTTTAAGATATTTAATCTCTCATCTTTTCCATTTTTCACAATTGCTAAATCCATTTGTATTTTCAGTTAACTTCCACAAGGTCACGTCTAATACCAGAAATCAGTAGAACTGATAGTTCTGATATTGCTGAGTTTTGTTTTTTTTTTAAGAGACAAAGTGTCAGTCTGTCACCCTCGGTAGAGTGCTGAGGCATCACAGCTCACAGCAACCTCCAGCTCTTGGGCTTAGGCTATTCTCCTACCTCAGCCTCCCAAGTAGCTGGGACTACAGGTGCCCACCACAATGCCCTGCTATGTTGAGTTTTTTAAATAAACTAATTCATTATTTAATAAATACAAATCTAGTAAGTAATTTAGAGCTAAAAGAAAAATTCCAGCATGACTTTCTCAAGCATATACCTAATAGTATGTTCTTAATGAGATGGTCTTTAACAAAGAAAAGCAAATTCTTGTCAATTTAATGTATGAATTAACCACTTGCTCTATTTATACATGTTGACTCAGAACTATCTATCAACACAAAGTATCAGCGAGCTCTGGGTCATCAATAGCAAAGAGGTCATCAAAGTATGCACCATCTTTCCTCTTCTCTACACCCTGACACTCATATAATGGGAAAAAAATCAAATCTTCCACTTTATAAAATGTTATATTTTATTTCTCCTCTACATTAGTATAATAATCCAGAACTAAATAGGAATATTAAAAAAAGAGTATCTCAGTGTCTATTTATTTTGTAAGTGAGGTTGGCAATGTTGATATTATATATGAATTCAACGTTTAAAACCTTATAATAATAAGGCGGCGCCTGTGGCTCAGTGAGTAGGGCGCCAGGCCCATATACTGAGCAAAAGCAAGACCCTGTCTCTAAAATAAATAGCCAGGCGTTGTAGTGGGCGCCTGTATTTCCAGCTTGGGAGGCTAAGGCAAGAGAATGACTTGAGTCTGAGGTTGCTGTGAGCTATGACACCATGGCACTCAACCCCAGGGCAACTGAGTGAGACGTTGTCTCATAAATAAATAAATAAATCTCTAGAAAAAACTCTAAATGATACTGGCATTCCAGGAAACTAAAGTACAAAAAAGATTAAGATAAGCAAAACTAGGACTGTAGCCCAGATGTCCTCACTGTTCACTCTATAACATAATGCTGACTATAGACATTTCTGAAGATGAGTATGACCTTTTTGTAGCTAAGTTTCTTATAAATACCTATACCTACTCAATCAGAAGCACTTCATAAAATAAAAAAGTATTACAAATTAGGTTACCATTTAATCAAACTTCTTAAAAGATATTTCAGAGATGACAGAAGTAGTTGTCATGAGACTGTCATTTATCTAAAGCTACAGAGCTAATAAGAGAGTTGGGTTTTTTGTTTACCTGTTTGTTTGTTTGTTTTGGGACAGAGTCTCACTCTGTCACCTTAGGTAGAGTGCAGTGGGGTGACAGCTCACAGCAACCTCAAACTCTTGAGCTCAAGTGATCCTCTTGCCTCAGCTTCCTGAGCAGCTGGGAATATAGGCACTTACCACAATGCCAAGCTCTTTTTAGTAGAGACAGGGTCTCACTCTTGCTCAGGGTGGTCTTAAACTCCTGAGCTCAAGCAATCCATCCACCTCAGCCTCCCAGAGTACTAGGATTACAGGTGTGAGCCACAGTGCCCAGCCAGAGACAGGTCTTGGCTGTCAAATTTAAATTCCTTAAATGGGAATTGGAAGAAATACTGCTTGGACAACCTCAGCCTTCTCAGTAAAGTAGAAGGCAGAGATATTTGTTTAAATGAGTATCAGATAATCTGGAACATACACTATGGGAATTATATAAAAGGATAAACAAGATAAATAAAGGAATGATTACTGAACAACCCCAATAAAGTTAAAAATTCTGCTTAAGTTTATGGTGTACCCAACACTGTTTTATAATTTGTACTAATAACACTGGGTAGTTTGCCTCAATGAATCCCCAACAATAAAAAACTAAATAAAAATTAAAATAAAAAAATCACAGGGTAGCTTGGAAATAAAAATGAAAAAGCAAATAATGGGGATTACCCAAGTTTAGAGACAGGTAAGAACGGAAAGGTAGAAAGTCAAGGCAAAGCCAGGCACAGTGGCCGATGCCTATAATCCTAGCACTTTGGAGGGCCAATTCGGAAAGATCACATGAGCCCAAGAGTTTAGCCTGGGCAAACACCATGAGACCTTGTCTCTAAAAAAAAAAAAAAAAATTAGTGGGGTATGGCAGCATGTGCCTGTAGAAGGCCCAGATGTTTGGGAGGCAGAGGTGGAAGAATTGCTTGAGACCACAAGTTCAAGGTTGCTACCACAGCCAGGATGTCACAACGAGACTCTATCTCTTTAAAAAATAAAAATGAAAAAAAGTGGCCCAGCCTAGTGGCTCACACCTGTAATCCTAACATTCTAGGAGGCCAAGGCAGGTGCATCACCTGAGCACCTGAGCTCAGGAGTTCAAGACCAGCCTAAGCAAGAGCAAGACCCCATCTCTACTAAAAATAGAAAAATTAGCCCAGTGTTGTGGCAGGCTCCTGTCGTCCCAGCTACTCAGGAAACCGAGGCAAGAGGATCTTTTTTTTTTTTTTTTAAAGAACCAAAGGTTTAATAGGTGCCAAGTCATCACCTGGAAGTCAGAGGGATCATGGCAGGTACAGGGTTCCTCATGGTAGGACTATGCTGGAGTCAGAACTGACTCTGTGACCTGGCGCACGCAATGCAGGTGTGGGTAATTCCCCTGTTCCACAGGCAAGGCAATCACCTCAGCCATTTCATAAGGGTGCACAGAACAAACAAAATCTGTCAAAGCTGGGACCAAGGAACTCTGGATTTTAACCATCATCAGCACCTCACTGTCTTCCTCAGTCTTTCCCTTCTACTCATAAATGGATGTAACCTGAGGGATAAGGTTGATGCAGGCTGCTAGGCACTTCACCACAGCCCTGGCGATCTCCTTGGCGACCTTCTTCTTGGGGCAAGTGATGAAGGCTGAGGAGACAGAGCCTGGAACGTAGCTAGAGCCTGAGGGTGGTGAGGACTGGGATGGTGGCGGGGGTGGGGGGAGGCTTCCAGAAGCCATGGACAGCAGGGCTCAGGGTACCAACAGAAGGCGAGAAGCCACTGTGGCAGGGCCAGTATCCAAAGAACCGACAGCAGCAGAGATTGTGCTGAGCAAGATTGTGGGAACCCACCCCCCACTCGTGGAGCCTTTGCTGGTAGAGGAGAGTTGATCTCAAACACCACCCGTTACACAGAGAAAAAAGCCCAAGCTCAGGAATAGCAGCTTCCACAAGAGCATCTCTTGAGCCCCAGAGTTTGAAGTTGCTGTGAGCTATGACACCACGGCATTCTACCCAGGGCAACAGATTGAGACTCTGTCTCAAACATACAAACCAACAATAAAAGAACAGGTAACTTAATCAAGAGAAACCTATTTCTCTTAGTTCCAAAGGGTGGAAAGTCCAAGATCAAGGTGCTGGTTGATTAAAGGACTCTTTTCCTGACTTTTAGATGACCTTTCCTCTGTGGGTGCATGGGAGGGAAGACAGATTCTCCCTCTTCCTTTTCTTCTAAGGCACTAAACCTATAATAAATATTCAACCTTCATGATTCACTCTAACACTATTCACCTCCCAAAGGCTCCATCTCCAAATACCATCACATTGAGTGGTCAGGGCTTCGACATATGAAGTTTGAAAGGACACAAACCTCCAGTCCATAACAAGTATCTATTCAAGTCCCTTTGTCCTTTTATTGTTGAGTTGTAAAAGTTATTTATTTACTTTGGATTCTAGACTCTTATTTGTGGGTTATCTTTTCGCTTTCTTCTTTTTTGCTAAGGCTTGGAACTACTTTTATTTTTTCCAGATTTTTGAGGTATAATTCATCTTTTCACTTTCTTGATAGTCTTTTGAAGTACAAAGCACAAATGTTTTCAATATTTATTAAGTCCAGTTTATTAATTTTTCCTTTGGTTGCTTGTCCTTTTTTTTTTAGTCTCAGTCACCCTGGGTAGTAGAGTATCATAGCTCACAGTGATCCTCTTGTCTCAGCCTTCTGAGTAGCTGAGACTACAGGAACCCACCACATGTCACTAGCTTTTATAGTTTTAGTAGAGACAGGGTCTTGCTCTTGTTCCAGTTGGTCTCCAACTCTTCAGCTCAGGCAGTCTACTCACCTCAGCCTCCCAGAGTGCTAGAATTGCAGATGTGGGGCACCATGCCTGGCTGGTTACTTGTGCTTTAAATGTCATATCTAAGGCTCAGTGCCTATAGCTCAACCGGCTAAGGCTCCAGCCACGTACACCTAAGGTGGCGGGTTCGAATCCCCAGCCCGGACCCGCCAAACAACGACGGCTGCAACCAAAAAATAGCCGGGCGTTGCGGCGGGCGCCTGTGGTCCCAGCTACTTGGGAGGCGGAGGCAGAAGACTCGCTTGAGCCCAGGAGTTGGAGGTTGCTGTGAGCTGTGATGCCACGGCACTCTGCCCAGGGGGACAGCTTGAGGCTCTGTCTCAAAAAAAAAAAAAAGTCATATCTAAGAAAACACTAATCTAAGGCCATGAAGATTTATTATCTATATTTTCTTCTTCTTTTTTTTATTGTTTGGAGTTCATTGAGGGTACAAAGAATTAGGTTACACTGCTTGCATTTAATAGGTAATCCCTCCTACAGTTGTGCTATATTTTCTTCTAAGAATAGACTTAGGTCTTTGGTCTATTTTGAAATTTTTGTTTGTTTTTTTTTTGCTTTTTCTTTTGAGACAGAGTCTATGTTGCCCTCTGTATAGAGTGCTGTA